AACTTAATCTTGTTTTGTAGGTATGCTTGAAGACCTCCTCATATCAGTGGTATCTTGATAGTGGGTGTTCAAGGCATATGACGGGTGACATTACCAAATTTTCACATCTAACGCTTAAGGCCAAAGGATTTGTAACCTATGGTGATAGCAACAAAGGAAAGATCCTCGGCGTAGGCAGCATTGGCGCACCACCTTTTACAACCAAAGAAGACGTCCTTTATGTAGAAGGCCTAAAGCATAAGCTACTTAAGCATTAGTCAACTTTGTGACAAAGGTTTCAGAATCAACTTCACTAAAGATGAATGTTTGATAGAAAACGAAGTCACTTCTGAGGTAATGTTAAAAGGTAATATAATCAATAATATTTTTATGATTTCCCTTGATAACATATCTTTGAAGGTTAAGTGTCTTATGGCGAACAACAACGACTCTTGCTCACATTCATATGGATCATTTGAACAAATTGATCAAACCTGACTTAGTTGTTGGTCTTCCAAAGATCAAATTCATCAAAGATAGATTGTATGGCGCATGCCAAAAAGGGAAACAGACCAAATCAACTTTCACATCCAAAAATGTGGTGTCTACAACTAGGCCACTACAATTGTTACACATGGATCTCTTCGGACCTTCAAGAACAAAAAGTTTTGGAGGTTATGGCTATGCATTAGTAATTATTGATGACTTCCCTAGATATACATGGACTTTCTTCTTAGTCCAGAAAAGTGAAGCTTTCAAGGTATTCAAGAAGTATGCAAAACAGATTCAGAATGAGAAGTCACTTTCAATTGTCTCCATTCGAAGTGACCATGGTGGAGAATCCCAGAACGCTCTATTTGAAGAATTCTGCGAGGAAAATGGAATCTCACACAATTTCTATGCACCAAGAACTCCACAGCAAAATGGTGTCGTAGAAAGAAATAATCGGTCGTTGGTAGAACTTGCAAGAACAATGCTTAGTGATTCAAATCTTCCTAAATATTTTTGGGCAGATGCAGTAAGCACAACATGTTTTGTAAGTAATCGAGTGAACATCAGACCAATTCTCAAGAAACCCCCTATGAACTGTTCAAAGGAAGAAAACCAAACATATCCTTCTTCCACATATTCGAGTGTAAATGCTTTGTCTTGAACAATGACAAAGACAATCTCGGTAAGTTTGATGAGAAATCCGATGAAGGTATTTTTCTTGGCTATTCTCTCTCAAGTAAGGCTTTCAGAATTTTTAGCAAAAGAACTTTAACTATTGAAGAATCTATGCATGTTTCTTTTGATGAATCTAACCCCTCCAAGAAGGATGATATTATTGTTAATGATGATGATGATGTAGTAGAAACCTCTCAAGAAAACACTCTCAAAGATATTGCAAGTGATAAACCAAAACAGTGGCAAGAGGATTCACAACAAAACGAAGTACACAATGATCTACCAAAAGAATGGAGAACTCATAGAGATCACCCGATCGATAAAGTCATTGGTGATATCAGTCAAGGTGTTACAACAAGATTAAATCTCAAGGATGCTTGTCTTAACATGGCACTTGTTTCGCAAATTGAACCAGCCGAAATCGATGAAGCCTTAGGTGATGATCAATGGATAATAGCTATGCAAGAAGAACTAAACCAGTTTGAAAGAAATCAAGTTTGGAATCTTGTCCCTAGGCCAAACAACAAGCATATCATTGGAATAAGATGGGTTTTCAAGAACAAACTCTATGAAAATGGAATTATAGTTCGGAATAAAGAAAGATTGGTCGCCCAAGGATACAACCAAGAAGAAGGAATCGATTTTGACGAAACATTTGCTCCAGTTGCAAGATTGGAAGCAATTAGATTGTTATTAGCCTATGCATGTTCCATGAATTTTCAGCTTTTCCAAATGTACGTCAAAAGCGCATTCTTGAATGGATTCATAAATGAAGAAGTATATGTCAAACAAACCCCTGGTTTTGAAGATTACAAATATCTATCTCATGTCTTCAAATTCAAGAAAGCTCTCTATGGATTGAAACAAGCACCAAGAGCATGGTACAATCGACTTAGCAATTTCTTATGTGACAAAGGCTTTGAAAAGGGAAAAGTAGACAAAACTTTGTTCATCAAGAAAATAAAAGAAGATACTCTCTTGGTACAAGCATACGTTGACGACATAATGTTCGGTTCAACCAATACAAAGTTATGTGAAGAATTTTCATCCATGATGCAAGGAGAATTTGAAATGTCTATGATGGGAAAAATGAACTACTTTCTTGGACTTCAGATCAAGCAACTCGAGAATGGGATCTTTATCAATCAATCAAAATACTGCAAAGAATTATTAAAGAAGTTTGATATGGACAGTTGCAAGACTTTATCTACACCTATGGGATCCAGTACATATGTAGATCAAGATGAATCCGGTGTGTCGGTTGATATCACAAAATATAGAGGTATGATTGGTTCCTTACTATACTTGATAGCAAGTTGCCCTGACATTATGTTTAGCGTATGTCTTTGTGCTCGCTTTCAAGCAAATCCAAAGGAGTCTCACCTGATGGCAGTCAAGCGGATCATGAAGTATCTCAAAGGAACAACAAATGTCGGCTTATGGTATCCTAAAGGTAGTATATGCAATTTAATTGGACATTCTGACGCGGATTATGCAGGCTATAAAACTGATAGAAAGAGCACAAGTGGAACATGTCACATCTTGAGAATGCACTAGTCTCATGGGCATGCAAGAAGCAAGCATGCGTAGCACTAAGTACGGTTGTGTTGCACCCTAATTTTTGACCTTAAGATCCCACCTCTGTTTTTTTTCTCTCTTGTGTTTTATCCTTTTGCTTTTATGTGTATATTTCATTACGGCTAACCAATTGATGCAGACGCAGTAATACCGAGTGGAGATAGCGTTCATTCTCGCGATCAACCATCCACACATAATTAACTTTTTCAACCGTTTTATGGAGCTAGAAGATATAAAAGCTTTCACAAAGCAAATCTTCCACAAGGTTTCTTAGAGGATTCACACCACGTCTGGTTTCCAGGATGTTTATTCAAGACTTGGTTGGATTTTTGAGGGGTGCATTGTTTGACAAGAAGTATCTTCAACTTCAGAGGCCTCAGGATATTAGTGTGGCATAGTATTAAGGTTACTGGAAGTTGTAGATAGAGGTTTTTTGTAAGTATCTCAGAAGAAAGTGGTTTAATGGTGACTAGATTGAATTTAATCAAAGCTCATGGTCGTTTAAAGAGATATTGAACTCGAGGATTAATGAAGAGTGGAGGATATGAAATGTAAGTTCTAATCTCAAAGTTATACAAGACTCAGTCATGATTCAAAGGAACTATATGGTTAATGTCAAGTTTGTAGGCTTATGTGATTCAAGTCCTCGCCCGAATCCATTTTCTTTCTCATAAATCAAATGGTGTTAAGCTCATCATACTCAACAGACAAATTATTCCCACCAAGTAAAGACGGTTCATGATGTTAATTTGAGTTCATAATATATGGGAAGGAGCTCATAATACATGGGAGTAACTTAAATTTCAAAGGTTGGTTTAACCTTACCTTCAGAATAAGCCCAATTTTCTTTGTTTCTTTGAGCTCACCATTTCTAAAAATATTAGAGACTTTACTTAAGGTGGAAAGGCAATTCATTATCACAAGGCTACTACCGTGTTTGGGTGATAGAATCTACAATGAACATCAATTCATAATTTTTTTTAATATCCAGGATTTGCATTTGAAACTTACAATAAGCCAACTCAATTTCCATCACAGTCCATCATTAATATTACAAGTCGTTCCATGTACAATCAAGATCTTGTGCAATACAAATTTCACAATTAAGAACCATTACAGCATGCACCAACCTAAATCCTAAACCAATGCATTTATTGTAAACGATAGAAGATTTGTTTATATTCAATTGATCCAGTCTCGGGAATCAGCTAGGTTTGTTTCTTAAGTCGTCAAATCTCTGATCCTAAGAAGCTGATAGCTCCTCCTTTTGCGTATCCCGCCATTACCGTCCATGAGCATTAGCCTTGAAGCCTACAATAACAGCGTGAAACATCAGCAGGCCATTGGGAATAAATCTCTACTTTTGTTTTCAGTATAAGGTTGAATGAGTTTAATTCAAAAAAAACCAGAAAGGTACCGTTCATCATTGCTAATACATGAAGCATCACCCACCAAAACTAGACAGCTGCACAAAAAGAAAAGACAGTTAGAGAGGGAGCAATTCAATATACAAGTTCACGAGTCCAGAGGATTTACTTATGATAACCTCGAAAATAATTCAACACGACGAACCGTTGGCATTGAAGGCTGGCATGACATGTCTCGAGAAGCCAATTGGTGTAGCAGGCGGAGTTCTGTCAGGATTATGCAACCTAAACGGATTCCTGTCAGTTGCGGTACCCTTAATCTCATGCTCTAATTTTCCAGATGCAGACCATCACAGCACACTGAATTATAGAGCAAACTAAGAGCTGCAAGGAGTTAACCGAACGCACATAAACACCAACTTACAATGCTGTCAGTTTCCAAATTCATCTCAAACCATGTTGTATTCATGAGGGAAACCCCACACTCCTTTACCTCAGCGCCAACCGTAAGTTAGAATGTTTACCTGCGAGCATGAGTAAAGACATTTCGGTTGATTAAAAAGAAAGGAGAAACAAATAACACTATGAATGTCCTGGTGAGTGCAAGTGAAAACTTTGGCCTCTGATGTTTCTCTTGCACCTGTGAATTCAAACACCCAATTGCCCTCTATACCATTAGTCTGAGAGGGTGTACATCATCAAACAAAACAAAGTCTATGGACATTACATCTAATTCAAGTGGCAGCTTCAGAATTTGTCATATGGATTATTCTCTTTTGACCTTGATTAAAAATGATCTAAGTGAACATTATAACGTAACCAAAACCAGCAGCAGCCCACCTACTGATTTTATATTGGTGAAGTCCATGCAATCTCAGGGGTCAAAACATATTGATAAATTCAGAAAATATGAAAAATACAAATGCAGCTAGTAAAGCCTCTATATCAGATAGCGAGGTCTGCAAATCAAAACAACAATATGATTTAAAATTGGATTTTCAATCTAAGCTAGCATCTGGTTATGTTGAAATAGAAGATGATGTGACGTCTTTTGATAGTCAGAGACTCAAGGAGCCAGAAGTTGTGAGTCATTCCTATTGGCTTATTCATGTTTCCCTTACAAGGAAAATCATAATAATCCTCATCCTCTGCAGCATGGTGAACCTTGTACTGTTGGAAATATTGGTTCTATAGCCACAGATAATGAAGGTGGATATGAACCACAATTACATGGATCTAGAGCATTATGCAATGGCTATTCTAAGAAATTAGAAAGTACCAGCACTTACAGTTTGCTTCAGGAATGATCATCACATTGGAATTAATTAGTAAAACAGTTAATGTTGGAATTGATGCTGCCACAACAGATATTGGTGAGAGTAGTATAATTTCAAATATATTGTCCATGAAGTTTGAAGCTTGGGATGATTCGGCGAAGCTATTAAGTGACAACACCGAAAATCTAGATAGCCTGCAAAAGAGAGGATTCATATTAACGACATTAAGTCGAACATCCATAAACCAATTCAAGCAATTCAGATTAAACTTGGAAAGAGTTTAAAACAGAATCAAGCATTCATAGAAAATTAGACAACTTTGAAAATATCAAGCACTCATCAGAAACGATCAGATGAAGAAGGAAATTTACTTTTATCAAGACGGAAGCGGAAAGTATCCAAGCCAAATCCTCGTACGGTCCAAACATGTTTCAAGCAATTTGGAAAGGAATTCAACAAATTACCAAAACAGAAACTTAGATCCATGATAAGCTGTTAATTCTCTCCAAAACAGTCCTCAAACGACCCCGCCGGATTTGGAAACTTCATTATGCCTCCTCAATTTGTATTAATCCCCACAGCCCTATATAAGAAATCGAAACAGATGAATGAAAGAGAGAAAAAAACGCACAACGTTTAACCACACCAGCAATCCACAAATTAGTTCGCAGAAAAACCAACAAATCACAAAATCCCCAAATTAAACCCTAACTGGCGAACGAGAAGAAAGAGGAAGAACTTAGCTTCGTTTTGAGGTCGCTGCTCTTCCATCCCGCTGAAGTTCTGTCGGAGGCCGCCACCGCCATCAACCGCAACCTTCCACGCGACCGAACCCCGGCGAAACCCCGTGAAGCTGCCGCGAAGTCACCGAAGAAGCCATCACCATCATCATGTTGGGTAACGTTTTCCTCAAAGGTTCTTTTCATTTTCACGATTGATGTTTGTTTCTGTTTGTGGTTAGGTTGTTTTTAAGGAAAACAGGAGGAGAATCGAAGAAGCGAAAGAGATGGAGAAAAAGGGATCGAGAACCCACGAGGAAGAAGAGGGGAAGAGATTTGGGAAGCTAGGGATTTGGGTTTTTTCTCTTTGGTTTGGTTTTTTTTGTGTAACATAATCATGTATATGCTCACATACACCACTTACCATGCGCACCTCACATACACCTGTCAGATCCAACGTCTGACGCCATCACACGACCAGTATTGCGCTTGACCATCATAACCAATATATCCGCGTCACACTTAATCCATCCGCCACCTAATCTCTTTCACTATTTCCTTAACCTGCTTTTATTTAATTTAATCACTCACTTAATATAATTTAATTAATTAACTTTTATTTAACCTATTTTATCTATCTAATCAATTTAACTTTAATTTAACCAACTTATTTTCACCATTTTTTTTATTTAATAATTTCAATATTAACTCTTTCAATAATAATAGTAATTTACCCATATGCAAAAAAACTCTCTTTTTTTTAAAAATAACTTTATTTAGCAAATCGATATTAGTAATTGAAAATCTTTTATAAAAAAAATCTACTTTTATAATAACTAAGAAACTATTTTATCTTAATAAACAACCTTTTATAATAAATTGCATTTATTTAATAACAATAACAACCATCAACTTTTAATCAAGTTGTTCCACATTTAACTAATTTGTTTATAATAACTTAAGTAAGAGAAAAAGCAATTTTATATAATAAAGTCTTTTTTATAACTTAAATAACATTATTTCACTTGTTAATAATAAAAACTAAACTTTTTTTAATATTAGAAGATCTTTTAAGTAAATAAACTTTTAATATGATAATAAAACCTTCATTAAAATAAACATAAGTAATATAACCTTTTTATATGAAACAATAATAATATTTTCTTATAAATTAACTCAAATAAATTAATATAGCTTTTATTAAAAATAAATAATAACTATGGTAAACAAATATGGCTTTTTATTGAAATAGCAATACAACATTTTCTTAAAAAATATATAAGTCTCTACCTTTTAAAACTAATTCACCCCTTTAAAACCATTCCACTTAAAATCAATCTGGTTAAAATCTACTTCTCGCTTAAAATCCATCGATTAAAGTTAATCAACATCGTAACCAATCGCACTCCGCTTCCACATTTGCACTCACGATTCACATTCACACACTTAGCGCTTTCATGCGTTGTGTACGCTTCTATATTTTCGCAATTTACCTTCATCGCAATTTATCTTTATTGCATCGCATTGCATTTCGTCCAAAGGAAAAACCTACACATGATTCAACAATTGTGTGTAGTGCATCATTCTCCCCTACGATCCTTGATCCCATTCAAGTCGATCTTTTAGGACAGATCCTACCCCATAGGAAGAACCTTTTCTCTACAACATAGGAAAACAATCAACCCAACTCAACAATATTCAAACGCAATAGAGAAAGATGTTAATCATCTTAAGCGAGATAGAACTTCCACGCAACAACAATACAATCAATATGTAGAGACTTTGCCTTAAGAGAGATAGAGGCGTACTCGTCGATCAATATCCGAGCACTTGAGCCCTTCTCTTAAGACGATGCAAAGACTATTTTCCTACAATTTGTGGCGGTTAAATCTCTCTTAAGATGACAACTCGTCTTTTCTCCTAAAATCAATCAATCAACTACCCTAAACCCGTAGGAACTTTGACAACAGTCAAAGAACTCCTCAAACCCTTTAGGGGAACTACAAATACTCTGATTCCACTCCCGTAAGGATATGTAGACATAAGATGCGACATCTTATCGAGTATACTTAGAAATAAACCCCTAGGTCTTCTAATCCTTAAGAAGATAACACTTTATCAATAAACAAGCATAAAACAAGAGGTTCCTGTAGAGTACTACAGAAACTTAGGATGTTAGCACCTTCCCTAAGTTTAACCGACCCCCGAACCTAAAACTCTCTAGCTTGCATTTGCATTGCATTGTGGGAATTTCGATCTTTATCCCTTCCTTTGGACAAATCAAAGTTCGGCTGCAAATGAATAAGATTCAAACTAATCAATAGTTTGGTATCCAAATTTCACTGCGACAGGTTGAAGCGAAGTGCATAGCAACGAGAAGTTGCTGTGTGCAGATACTTTGGCTTAAGCAACAACTTCGTGACTACGGACTCGACCTGGGTAGCATTCCTCTTCGTTGTGACAACACAAGTGCAATTAACATAACGAAGAATCTAGTCATGCATTCAAGGACCAAGCACATTGACATACGACATCATTTTCTACGAGATCATGTACTTCAAGGAGATGTCGAGATAACATTTGTGAATACTCATAATCAGCTTGCTGATATATTCACGAAGCCTTTGGCAAAGGAATCTTTCTTCAAAATACGAAGGGAACTTGGAATTCTGGATGAAACTGACGTTGAATCATGAAAGAACTTCATATGTGGTATTTTTCTCAATTTTCACTGCTTACAATCGATTGCACCCTTGTGTCAATCGATTGCTCACTGTAAGTTTTACAAATTTTATTAATTTTTGAAGCAAGCAATCGATTGCAGCTCCGTGTCAATCAATTGCACCCTGCAGTGTTTATCTTATTTCGTTTCTGTTTTGTAGAGCAATCGATTGCACTACAGTGCCAATCGATTGCACCTACTGTAAATGTGTTTTTTTATTATTTCTTTAATAGATCCATGGGCTTTTCACCTTTCCTAATACCCTATCATTACACTTTTGATCTACCTATGACTAGCCATTACTACTTAATCCTAGTCTCAAAATCTTTGACCATTAATTGTCATATTCCCAAAGTCTTAATCATCAATGCTTTCAACCACTCATATCCCACAATAACTATTTTCTCTTGTCCTAATCATTATAAAACCCAACTTCTCATAACCTATCTTAACCATCTTCTTCAAAACATAACCTCTCCACAAAAAACTCTTCCCTTCCTCACAAACCCTAAAACTCAAATCCTCCATCATTCTCTCATGGCATCTCGCTCAAAGAGGAAGATTTCATCACAAAGCAAAGGCAAATGTCCAGCCTCTTCATCTTCAAGAACTCCATTGGTTCTTCAACACTTGGATGATGAACAAAGGGAAAAGTTCACCAAATATTTTCAGAAGAAGGTTGTGCAAACACCAAAATATGGTATTCTCTCATCATTCCTAAAGAATGTTTTTCTTTTCAAGAAACTTTGAAGGCATTTGGGTTGGAACCTGTGATTTCCTCATCCGGGCCGTATTATCTGGATTTGGTAAGATTGTTCTATAGCAACCTACAAATGGAAGAAGGCGAGATGGTAACATATGTTCAAGGAAAAAGAATCCCACTCCACTCAAAAACACTTGGTAGGATTCTGAATATTCCAACCTCTGATGGGAGACTCTATGAATAAAACGAAGACCTCTGGCAAGCATACAAAAAACGAGAATTCTATTAGAGTCTTGGCCATATGACTGAAGCAGAATTCCATGCAAAACGTGTCAGATCCTTAGGCGGCATGGAACCCTCTCGAAACTCATGGTCGGCATGTATCTTTAACATTGATGATCAGCTGTTTCATTATTTTATGGTTTACATAATGTTCCCAAGAGCTGGAAACCACTCCATTGTGACTGATCTAGAAATGCAGATTCTATACACTATTTAGAATGGCATTCAAATAAGTTGGTCTTATTTAATCTTGGTTCACAGGCATCGAATCAATGAAAAATCCAAGTTTATGCCATATGCATGGTTCATCACAAATATTTTGGAACATTTTGAAGTAGACTTTGAAGGGTTTGATAAGTGTCTCATGGACTCAAGTATCAACAAAATCTCAATCAAAAATGTGGACTCTTGGGTGGGTGTCAAATACAACCCGGAAACCAAAACCATTGTTTACCTTGGTGAAGGTGTGGCTGAAAATGATGAGCAAGAGGATGAAGACGATGATGATGTTCCTATTCCTTCTAGAAATAGCCCGAGTAACTAACAATTAATGGATTACATGACTCAACAGTTTGGAAATCTCAGCACTTCCATCAATGACCAA